ATGTTTTTTTTGACGATAAGTTACTAAAAAACATTCTTTTCTCAGTAAATTCAACAACTATTGCTGTTGTTATCCATCTGAGCAACTATAATACAGTCGAATGAGAGCTGGTAAAAGCAAAGAAAATGAAAACTTTTGAAATCGACTCTAAAGAACATTTTGCGTTCTTTTCGCCTCATTTATGGAGGGTTAACAATCACTTCCGACAGTATTACAAGCAACTATTCATAATAAAGTATTCTTAGTGTCACAGATCACGAACACTATATACAAAGAGTAGCATATAAGTTGACAAAAAAGCATTTGGAAATCTAATTTTGTTAACAAATTATTATGACTGGTACAGTCTGTTTTATTGTTCTGACGATGGTGACGATGGTGACCGAAAAACAGAAGGCGACTAACACTGGTGTAAGCTTAGAGTTGTAATCAACAAAAATTTACCCTTTTTCGCATTCGTTATATATCAGTTAAAACTGTTCCTTTATTTTTCTGCTGTTTTTTTTTCATTCTGTTCTTCAAAAAACCAGACGAGAAAGGTGGTGCTACAGAAAAAAAAGGTTGCCAAGAAACATTCTTCACTGGGTAGAGTTAATTAGCAAAAAACTGCTATAAACATATTGTAACGTTAATAAAGAAAATAAACAAGAAATAATTTAATATTGTATAAACATTCTTTACGAAAAAGCAACACATGAATCTGGAAGATTGTAACAATATTTGTAACAAAACTAAAAAAATAGCAACAAAGAAACTAACAGTTGAGGCTAAATTAATAGATTAACAATTTCTATAGAGCAGACAGTCGAATTAAGAAAACGTAACACGAAACTGTCTAGAAAAATAACACCACTTTTGTCGGAAACATACTTGAAGGTGAAAAATAAACTTGGTTAGAATTGATTGTTGAGTAAGGCTGAAAAAGTGCTGTCTGGGATAAATGGTCTACCCAGACAAATACATATTATATACAGTTTATAACTCAAGGAAAAAAAGCGGAAGCAAATCTAATTTTGTTAACAAATGATTATGATTGGT